TTTTAATATATAACTTTGTATTTTCTAGTTATAAAATGATGCCTTTCTTTTATATTTGAATTAAATTTTTATCCGATAATAAGACAATTTTGTAGAGGCCCAACTACCCCGCCGAATTTTTATCGGCGGTCCTCTTTTCTTTCCAATAATTAGGGTTTAACATTTTTATCATTTATTATTTTTAAACATGTGTAATAATATGCATACATTAATACATAACTCTTGCGATGTAAACATTTTTTATTACTGTACAAATAAAAAATCAAATTATACAAGTAAAGGTAAATCTATTGACATATAGTAAATTAGAAACGAAAATCTATCGAATAAAAGACTCTGTCAATCCAATTAAACTAAAATTTCATTCGATAGAAACTCGATCTATAGAGGCCTACCACCACCCCCGCCGACTTGAATCGGCGGTCCTCTTTTCTTTACGATATAATTTTTTACAATTTTATTATCTATTTCATTTTTCTTATAATTTACTTTACATTGCATCCAATATTAAAAAAGAAATAATTACATTATAAAATTAAAAGTACAAGACAATATTTCTCTCGACAATACGTATGAAATATCCGATATGCATACAATAACATGAAATTATTGCAATGTAAAATATATACATATTACATGTTCATGGGATTAAAAATATCACGAATGTATAATATTTATTAACGATCTCTTAAAAGTATAATAAATCAAATCCATAAAAATTTGAAATAAATGTAAAGTAAAAACTTAACAAACATATAACAACTTCCATCTTATTATATGCATCTGATTGCAATTGTAATTACATTTAATAATAATACATTGCAGTTATAATTTTATCTATCTTTTTAATTATCGAGTTATGTCCCCCTGTCCCCTGCCTACCCGAATCTCTACCTGCCCATATTCCGATGTATAGTCCTATCCATTTTCCTACCTACTCGCGTTTCAACTTTTTATTAATAAACCTACAAGTCTTTCGTTAGAACTGCGACACGATTTATAAAAGGTCCGATTTGGGGCTATACGCGCGCGAATGGGATTTAATAGGAGACTTGTTAATCTCGCACATATGCGAGATGTAAAGAAGATAAGAATATAACCCACCCGAATTTTGATAAATAAGAACAAATCAACTTATTTCGCACATCACCTTACTCACATACTCCATCGGAGTGGCCAATATTGGCCACTTATCCCGTCGTATCCAGTCTTCTTTCGTTGGGCCAGATTGAACCTACCTTTCGTTGCTCCTGGCCATACAGTCTGGTCATTTTGACTAGAAATCAGGAAGAAAGAAAACTTCTTCCATAGTTGATTTATCACCAACAGATATTTCGTACGATTTGAACTATATGCGAGCGCCGATCGTATAAAAAAATGCACGACCAGGAGAGAAGTTATTTAAAGAAGAAACGTAATTTTTAAAACTGATCAAATTGTAATTTTACTTCCGTTTTCACAAGTACTGACCGTCTCTTTGTAACTCGAACTTTGAATATACGAGTAAAATTCAAGCACATAAATATAGAACAAAATTTTACTTTGTGTTATGTTTATTTTAATGGTATTCCGCGATGAAATTAAACAATTAATCATTTCTTGAACATGTGAAAATGATCGTGAAAATCGACCGCGAAAATCGACCGCAAAAATACGAGATGCGTGTGACTATGCGTGTATTCATACGGAACGCATCTTGAAAGTATCGCGAGATAAGTATGCAGAATAAATGACGTAAGATCCAAAAAAAAGCAACTTGCCGCAAGAGTGATACCGATATTATAATGGAATATTACAGTTAATCGATAATATCAAATAAAATATGAAAGTAATTTCAAATTAAAGCACATTCTCGACAAACTATATTAGAATCTCATGTCATATTATTTTACTTTACACATATATCAATTCTTTAATTAAAAATGGATAGGCTACGAGAAATTAGTTGGCTGAATATATCGATAATATTCGTCATATTTCGCGTAATTTCTACTATGATGTAGTTCAACGATTTTCAACATAAAAAATGAGCTCAATATACTTTGATTTGTAGAGCTCTATGAAAACACTTCTCTTCGATAAATTAAATATTAAGTAAATAAAACGTGAAATTATGTGTAATCTATCTATTTTAACGTAACGGATCTACGAAATGCGTCAATCTACAATCTACGGTCTAAAAATGTAGATTCCGTTACTTTAATAAAAAACTTTTCACTCACCGACAAGATGCGCAACGGCGGAATTGTATCTACGTTGATTCTGCAATGGCGCCCGATGTCTCCTCCTCCACTCAGGTGTTCTCCTCTCAGGTGTCGTTGTCTCAGCAGTCCTTCGACACACTCGCGAATTTACACTTCCGTTTGTAAAGTCACTTGTCACTGACACTGTATCCAAATGCCACTTTACTCGCGAATTCATACTTCCGTTTGTGAAGTCGCTTGGCATTGTCTCTGTGTCCAAATGCCACTTCACTCGCGAATTCATACTTCCGCTTGTGAAGTCACTTGGCACTGTGACTGTATCCAAATGCCACTTCTTTAGTTTTCACCATGTCCGATTGTCACTGATTGTGAGTCCAATTGCCACTACGAACGTTCGATTACATCGAGCATCGATGTCAAATTGTGGGAATTCAGCGATCGCACGATGGTATCAATCACTAATTATTTGCAGAGAGCGATCGTGGTTTCTTCCCGCACTTGTCGCGAACGCGTATCAAGAAAGAATAATACGATATGCGAAGCGGCGCGGGCATGACCGATCAATTCAACTGTCGCCGCGTGAATGATACTGCGTACGTCGCCGCCGTAAACACCTCAGCCGAAAAAAACCGAACGCGGATTCCAATAGATTGTTTTCGACCGAGGTGTTCACGGCGATGTAAACACCACAGCCGAAAACCGAGCGCGGATTCCAAGAAATGACGTAGCGCTGTGAACACCTCGGTCGAAAACAATCT